TCAATATTTAATCGTATCTATAAAATACAATTACAAATTCAAATGCAAACTCAATGTTGTGTAGAAAATTCTGGTGCGGAAAAATCACAAATGAAAGTTTGATTAAACTACAAAATTTTAATCTTACTCCCTAATGAATATTTAGGCAATTAAGTAGAAATACAAAGGCAATTAATTTATCGAAGGTTCCTTTAACATACACAATTTATCATTCTTTTACTGTACTATCGTGGAGAGAAGACATCGTCATAAATGAACACATATTATTAGCTACTAAATTTTTTATTGCATTATTATAAGTAGCACAGTAACATATTAAAATCAAAATAACATACAAATACAACTTATCTTCATCTCGGACTAAATTTCCGAATAAATATTAACCTTTTTAACATAATATCCTCAGTACTATATTAATATTAAATTCACAAAAATATCACTTAGGTTTACATAATCATCTCTACATGCAAAGAGAAAGTATAGAGAATTTACACTGAGCAGGCTACACGAATACGGAAGCTAAAATAAACTTACGCAATCTTGAAGTTTAATTTTCCGAAAATCAGAGTGCAAATGAATTCATGAAACCTGGCCTTAACAATTCTTAGCCTCTAACAATTCTTAGCACTGTTCAATATTGTTCATAATGTGTAACCATTTACTTGAACATCCTATGTATCAATTACTAACATTCACTTTATAACACGTTAGGAAACAGGAACACAACGGAAAAATTAATTTCACATCATCAGTCAAAATCAGAAGCCGATATTCTATTGAGTCCGGAATAGCCTCTTTGTAGTTCGCTTACAGGAACACCCTCAGGGAACACTGAACAGATAGTCGCATTCCCTTCTCATAGGCTTTATAAGTTCCTGTATTTCTCTTTTTATCATACGCTTAATCATTCAATACAGCTGATCATCTTCCACGAGGTACTTTTCGAGGTCGAGGCCGAGGTTTTTTTCGTAAATTTTCTGCAATCTCATACACACTCGAGAGTCATCATCGCATTACTGTGCTTTCTCTTCTCCATTGTCACACTATTCAATAAGTTATCGCCAATAAAATGTTATTTCTCCATCTCAGTAAAAAACTGCGTATTGTACTGCATTTTTTCACCCACATTCTCTCTCCCTCTCCGTTTTTTTTTTCTTCTTCATGCTGCTAAACTCCGAGGGGAACACCTGTTAGAATTTTGTCTTCCTGCTTCTCCTGCACATCACACAGCTCCTTCCCATCCTTTTCCTCCTCATCAAAATAAAAAGCGATGCATCGAAAAAAAAAAAAAAAAAAAAAAAAAAAAAACTATTTTTGACAAAATCTTTCTTATTTCTTCCCTGCATTTTCGCTAGCTCTTTATCTACTGAAAGTATGTCCGAAACTAATCTAAACATTAATAGACCCCTTTACTGTCCTAAGCTGTCTTATTTAATTCCATATCTAATTATTAATTTAACGGAACCTTCTAACGCAACCATGACTAACTGGAATATAACGGGTCCATCGCAATCTACTGCAGTCTCTTCTGAACTAATTACAACAACGTAGCAATTACAATTAAGCACCGCACGTATTTTCTACGGCGCCATAAAATGAAAAGTAAGGTGTTTTCCTCTTCCGGATTTGCCTCTCGAAATTCTCCGAGATAAATCACACCCCAAGACAACATCTATTATAAAAACAATGCATTTGTCTATTCTTTTGTTTGCATAGCAGTCAAAAGAACTTGTAAACAAATTACAGCGAAAATGCTCAAAGTCAAGTTTAGCTCCTACAACGAAAGGCTTTCTGACAATTTCACATGTGACACATCTTTTTCACAACGTTGTTTCGCTGCCGCCGTTGTGGTTGGCTTCTCATTAAGGGAAGAGTAAACATTCTCTCTTTATCTGCAACAGACCCCGAATACGAAAAGTATCCTTTATTCATATAGTTTAACTTTTATTAGAAGCTACTGAACAAGCCATATTTCCTGTCAAGTTTCATTACTGTCATACTATTTTGCCCTTCAAAACTGTTACTTTTTTAATACAGGGACACAGCAAGAGACGATTAAGTCATTTCAACGTCTCATGCCACAAAACATTGTCAGGTTGCACCACAGCGGAGGAAAGTGAGTTAAATATAAGACATGCAGACTAGATAGAACAAAGAAAAGCAAATATACGAACAAGAAAACCTTGCATGAGAGCGATAAATCAAAGCGCAAAATAAGTATGCAAACTTCATTGGATGAACATTTTAATAAATAGTCTTACAAACAACAGTTTGTAGGACTATTTATTAAAATGTTCATTATTAAAATGTTTTAGTGTGGGTTTGTTTATTTCGAGTTTTCTGATTTCAGTTATCTTGAAATTTTATTGAGAGCATTATAATGTTCACTTATTAATTTTTGTAATCAGTTTAAAATTGATTAATTTACGATACTAATACATATATTTATTTCACTTTGATTGCAAAATGTTTCTTTCACATATAACGAAATTTCTTAGCAAAAACGTACTGTAACAAATCAATGAGGAACATCTCCAATACCCATTTTCTCTAAAGTCCGAAGTTGACTGCACCAATAAAAACTCATTTTAAATGGATCAGTTCTTTTTGACATCATACTGCTTTTTTTAAATGCAAACTGACGAAAGACTTAAAGGAGTAAAAAATTGTTATTCTTTTTTTTTTTTTTTTTTTTCAAGAAAATGAAATAAATGTAAAAGTCTTGTAATGAAATATAAATTTATGAATTTTATTTTGTACTAAAAATCTGATTCTAATGAATAAATAAAGGTTTCTCTGCACCAGACTGTAACAACAGAATTTCTATAATTTTAATTTAAGTAGTGCATTATTTTCTACAAAGAAATCTGAAATTCTTTCTTGAAGTTCTTTTAAAAAGTGCGTTAGGTATTTTATCTTTCACTTCACAGTTCATTATAAAATTTTGGCAGACTGTATATTGTCAGCATTTGCGACTGTAATTTGCTTTATTGGTTTTGCATTATAAACTCTGGATTCAATGTTTGCTTATCATTACACTGCATCTCCAAAATCCAGAAATTTGCATCAATCGATATATAATTTGCAAATTTGACGTCTGTAAAATTTTGATCTATCTAACAAATTGAGATTTCCTTCTCTTTGCTCATGTACGCAATGACAACTGATTAAATCGAAAATAGATCATTTGATTGTAGAAAAATGGATTTCTCATTTCTATCTTAAAAATAGTAACTTTCCTATAATTAAGTAAACTGCGTATTCTCTAAACTGCGTCATTTCAAATTTAAAATTTTCCACATGATACTTACACAACGCTAAAAAGGTAAGTACTTACCAAATATGTCAGCCTTTTATAATACTAAAATTTTCGAACTAAAATCTTAATTAGTAAATAGGAAGAATGTGAAAGGATAACTGTTTCATTATCTCTTGTCTTTAAATTAGCAACTGCATACTTTTTCTCAGCTTCTCTGGTTTGCAAGCTTATCAGGTTCTGTGTTACTCCTTACTTGCTTTGGAAACATTTACTATCCTGACTCGGAACAGGGAGCTTACTAAAGCTATGTTCAATAAATTTGGGAAGTAGACAATACACACAAGAAGGGTATACGAAACCCTTTATTTTTCTTTCTTTACAATGATTTCCGGACTTCGGAATACAGAGAACAACCACTTGTGGTCTGAACGTAGAATATAAAATATTAACTAAACTCTAACTAAACTAACTTTGGATTAATCAAACAAGTGCCTACTCCAAGATTTGCCGTATATAGAAAAAAGCCGTATGTAGTACAGAGAACTGCTAACACTACGATACGTTTAAAATTATCAAGAGGATTAAACCTCTGGCCTTGAAGGCAACCAGCAACCGACCGAGTAAAATGCTCTATGGCAAGCGGCCTGCTTCTAATAGCTCCTTCCTCTCTCTTGCTTGGCAAAAAGCCACAACTTAAGTACTTGGCGTTCGCAAGACAAATTTGCATAAATAAGTTAAAAGCTTTTAATTCTGGCCGGAAGTAGAAAATAAGAAGTGATAGTAAAGATTTAAAATAAAATAAACGTTAGTAAAACTTAAGATCCTTACAAGCTTGCTGTCCTCCGCTATTCTTTAGTACATTGCAAAAATATAAAATATACAAAAAAGTTAAATATACAAAATCGCAAATATTCAAGAAAAGAAGCCAGTTTAGTTGAGTTTGAATCAACAGTACTTTATCAAAAATAAAGATGAGCTCAACCGGCCAATTTCTAAAGATATGCTGCTTTCAAATATTTTGATGTTCAATTGAATTTTATGTGGCGTAAGTGCGAGGACGTGATATTCAATAAAAATGTTAAGATATAAGAAATTTCAAATGAAAAGACAAAACATTTTTTATTTCATTTTTAAACCATCTTATTGAGAAAAACGGAATGCTGAAATGATTAAAATCTCAGTTTAATCATTTCAGTATTCAAAAAGGACTGAAAAAATACAAAAATATATGCCAACACTCAACAATGCATCGGGAAATCTAAACACACGCTATTATGTCACTTTTAAAAATTTTGTGATTTTTGTTGTTTAACTATATATGGGGTAAGTGCGAAGAAAACGAGGCTAAATTTTTTTAAAAAGAAGTGGGTTATCAGAAGTGAGTGCAAAAACAAACTGATAGGGAGCGATCTCAGCGACAGCGTAGAAAACTTTAACAAATCCTTTTGCGCGAACGTTAATTCTGAAATCTTTCAGTTTTTTTAAAACTGATTTTCGTTTGACAATCCAATTTATAATTATATTTGGAAAAACCAATTTCGTTCAGAAAAAATGTTGAAACCGCATATTTTATTATGAATCTAAATTTGATTTCTGTTGTGAGTTTATTAAAGATTTCGCACAATACATTTCGTTGAAGAACTGTTCCAACAAATTTATTCGTCACATGCAATATAAACGATTTTGTTTTCAATTAATGAACTTTGGAAATATAATCAATGTACTTGGAGAAATAGCTTACCATTTCTTGATTCCGAAATATTACAGCATTTCGCTTTTTTTGGCTTACCTAAAACAAAAGATGATAGTTTAGTGTTAATCACTAAAAAGTATAAAAAATATATTAAAAAGCATTATTACAGTATTCACGTCTGCATATTGACAAATTTTCTAAAAAAATTACTATAAAAATCATTATGAATCTTTTTAATATACTAAAAATTATAATTAGTAAATACATACATATAATATATGTATGTGTGTTTTGAATCTTTCACACGCACACGTACTATATATATGTATATATAGTATATACATGCAATACATATACAAATTATATTATATACATAAAAATATAAAATATGAAAGCACAGTACTAAATTAAATTGTAAATATTCCCTTTTATTCCCCATTTTAACATGGCTAAGTCTCCTTTCTATCCTAAAAACAGTAATAATATGACCAATATAACCAATCTCTGCCAAAGTAACCGCCTCATATAATTTCGAAGACTATCGCTCAAAGTCTATTTCCTACCACAATTCGGCAAGTTAAGCGAAGAAACTTTTACGAATGGCGGCGATAATTCTAGAATGCAGCTTATCAAAACAAGCTGATAAATAGTTCGTGTGTACTGGGATTCGATATATGCGACTGAATAAAATGATATTATTTCCTTCTTTAAGAAAATGATTAATTTATATTATGATGAAGTTTCTGTCACCAATTCGTAAACATAAATTTGTTTAAATTCAGCATAATATTTTACAAAATTATAAAAATTCGTTGCTTTGAAGAAAAACTGAATAGGCATTGTCTTTACTATTAACTAATAAAACATCTGTACTCATGTATGCACTATGTTTGTTCTTCGCACTATGAGCAAGAGGCAGCACCTAGCCAGCAAACGTTAAAGGCGTTTGTTGTGACTTAGCTCACTTGTCTGAGAGTGACATCAGAACAAGTCCACGAAATTATGAAAAGAATGCAAGATTGCGTCTGTCATGGGAAATAGATTTTTCACCATGCAGCTAACAATACGGCTTTGCTGAGTGCTGCCCCCAGTTTTGAAGAACACCTTCAGAGGGGGAGGATGGGTTCAAGGGTCTCTCACTCCTGTTCCCCACTACCAACCTCTCAAGAGGACTTTCGGCTCTTCCCATATTTAGCGAGCCCCCAAGCCGTATAAACTCTATACATTTACAAAACAAATGCCTTCTTTGGGATTCGAAACCGCGCCCTTCGGCACAGCATTCAGCGTCGCTTGACCACTATCCCGGTCGGCCGTCAAGCGTAGTCTTTCGTCTGAATATGGGCCTACCAGCGGCCGAGCAGTAAAGTCCCTGAACACCGAGTTTGGCGATTTTACTGCTAGGTTGGGTCCGAGGTTCGAAACCCTCGAACGGGATGTCTGTCAATTGTTTTTTTCCATATGTAACGTGTATACTAGCCGATTTCACTTAGTTCTCAGGCATCCCTCCCCTCAGGCAGATAGCCCGCGAGGCTTTGCAGTAATCACATAAACCAATTGTCTGGAATATGTGCCCTTCGAAACCCAAATCTTTAATTTCGAATTTGTTTTGTTATTTATTTCATTAAATTCAGACTGTGAATTTTGTCGAATTTAATGAATTTTTTGCTTAACAAACTTAGCAATATGCGATATAAAAGGGATCAGAGGCAGCTCCTTCAAATCAAATATTTTTACCTTCAGGGCAGACTGTTGCCATTCTGCAAAACGCCTTTCGTTATCTTATTACCTTTTGTTTTTAATCTACAAGCTCTCCTATTTAAAACCAATGTATAGACACTGCATGAAACGAAATACTTTTATCTTCTACGTGGGAACGTGTTGACACTCGGAAAAGCAAGAAGATATTTAGCTTTCCAGTCCGAATGTAATCTGACTGTTACGGGTTAACAATCGGTAACGATTCAAGAACAGTATAACTCTATCCTTCAGAACAGATTTTCTACTTTTTAATGTTATTGATTTAAATAAAAATGTAAGAGGGAGAAAAGTGAACTCTTTAAGTAAAGTGAAATTTCTCTCTTATTCTCTTTTAGACGTTTCAAATCTACTGTTAGATAAAAAATAGATAAAAAAACTAAGCAACCAATTGCAAGCAGTTGAGTCAATTGTCAAGTAATTTAAATGAGCTAACGAAAGCTTGCTTAAGGATGCTTTGATATCGAACAAAACATCAAAATCTGTAGGTATGAAATGAACACGATTAAAAATTCAAGCTCTTCTCAAACACATATATTTAAATTTTTTTGCAGCTCAATAAAATTTTAGACATTAAAAAAAATATATATATGCAACAATAGCAAGGAAGAGCCGAAGCACTGTTGATGCGTAATACCGCACTAAGATAGAAGAGGAAAAATTCACATTTCGTTGTATGCTAATATGTTGACTTCGTAATATCTAAAAAACTTGGCAGTCGAGGCAGTTTTAATTCCATTTTTATTCGCAAATTATAATTTAAACTAGCGACATTAAACTAGCAGCGATTTAAACTAGCAACAATATTTTGCAATTAACTTTTGCTGCCACAATCACTTGGCACTCTAGTCGTGCCTTTCACAAAACATTTACATTTTTGATATTATTGCGAAAGCAAGCAAAACAGCGAAATTACATCCTAGCAAGGTAGAGAGCGAATCTAACGTGCGTAGTTATGGAAGATGGAAGCATACAGAGAGAAAGGTTTTTGTTTGAAAGAGTTTCAGTTCCCAATTATTATGACATCAGAGCTGCGCAGGCCATGAAAAATGGACTGATCTAGAAATGACGCAATCCAGAGAAGTTATTACGGTTTAAACAGATAGGGAGAATTAAAAGGTTACCGCTAGTTTAAATTATAATTTTGATTTACATATTTATCTTGCACATTCCCTCCTTCATAGAGAAAAAGGCTTGGCGACGGAAAAGCCTTTTTAGAAAAAACATTACAGCAGTAGCAAAACAAAGGAAATATCATAGAATTTGATATAACTAATATTTTGAAATAAAAAGCTTTGTTGATATCATTTTCAACAATAGATTCAAACTGAAAATTCTATTGAAATTTAAAAGTCTTCAAGTTCATTTTTCTGTAAATCTCTGTAAGAAATGTCCTAGTTTTTTCAAGAAATACTGGAAAAGTTCACAGTTCAGTAAAATCTTTGCTTGAATATTAATTATAGTCAATATTTTGCAGTCCTTAGCTTAAAAGTCTTTGACAAAACCTGATGTTGCCAATATAAAACCAAAATTTTCTTTTACAGTTTCACAAAATATCAAGTGATTATTCATAAAATAATCCCCATTTGCTTAATTGTAAAGCAATGCAAAATAGAATTTATAACTTAATGTATAGTAAGCTAAAAAATTCATTACAATAGCAATATAAACTTTGATGAAAATGAGCAAATCCTCTACAACGCAAATCAGCGTGTCAACTTGCTGATGGCTGTAGGATGCTTAAATACACATAGAAGCACCCGTTTCTTAATAAAGGTAACTGGCTTCTAGTATTGTATAATTATCAAAGTTTACATTTATAAATTATGGCCATAACAGTCTTCAAGCTAGTTAAATGAAATGAAAAACAACTATACAAAAATTAAAGACATATTAAATTCTACACTGCCCTACAATAATAATATAGGTCATATAATTTTGTGGATATGAAATAATAAAGTAAGTTTCATAATTATACCTGTTTAGGGATGGCTTTTATAAAACTTTTCAAATATAAAAATTTCAAACGCATCCATTAACATTGCAAAATTTCAAAATATTGTAATGTAATATTTATATTTTCATTTGAAACATTATTTGAAATAATATACTATGATTATCTAAATTTTTAATTTACTTATTTTGTACAAACTGGAAGACCCCACAGCTTTCTGTTAATACGAATATTTCCATCTTATGGGCAAATCCACAACAACAAAGTAGTGAACGAATTTTCACCAATAGTTGCGAGACGCTGGCGGTAGTTATTTATAAAGGCCTCCGTTCCTTGGTTTAAAGGCAACTGGCCTTTTTTGACTGCACTAAAATATTCCATTTATTAAAAAAAAATTAACAACTCCATTACATAAAAAATAAAAATTATTATATACCAAAAAAAGTAAAAGTGGGAGGCGTCAAAGTTTATCTGAGCATATTATGATCCGTAATTTTTTAAATTAGTTAACATAATTCCATACAACTTATAATAATAATACAGTTTCTTGAACTAATCATATTTATTATACTACTTTAATATTATCTACAACAACACTCAAAAACATTATTTGTTTATCATATTCTACACAAAGTTTTTCAAAATTACTTCATGCACTTAAAAATTCTCATCAACAATTCAAGATTTTAATCATAAATTCCAAAATAGTATTATTTACCTGAATATCCTTCCCTATAAATAAATAGCTTAAAAATTCTTTACTTAATTTGCTCACACATACTTCTGACAAATTGGAAAATTAATGAAAAAAATTTCACATTTTTGCAAAACAGTACAATTGCAGAAATTTTAACGAAAATTTAAATGAAAAGTATGGAATCCGCAGCATATTAAATAATTTTGTCTCGTTCCAGAGTTATCACACGACTATAACAACTTTTGAGCTGTCGATGGACGAAGTACTATTAGAAAAAGCGGAAGCGCAAATAATTTTCTGTCGCACATACTTGCAGAGCACAAACTCAGATTGATGACCTTGAAAACACTGTAATGCTGAATCTCCTAAACGGTAATTCACTGATGATTTAAAGCACTTCTTTTTCCCTTAAATAATGTAGAGATGACCGAAGCAAATTCAATATTTCATTTCACTAGGCATTCAAACTAGATTACTTTCATTCTGTAAACATTACACTTGATTATTTTTGAAGCACTTGCAAAACACCACAGTAGAAGAATGATTGAGCTGGAAACAGCGCGCTTCGCGCGCTACTCCAGCCATACTTGTTCAGATCCGATCAGATCATAGAAGGATGATAGGTTATTTTTTAAACACTGAAAAAAAAATAAATTGATGATTCACTTCTTTTACATAGCCTTTGAATTT